CAGGGCAGTGGCAGCGGTGGGCGGTGGGAGAGCATCTGCACTGGGCTGCAACGGACGAACAGACGGGGATCTGCAGGTGGGAAGGAGAGGGGTCACTGGTCCTGCTCTGGACTCAGCTGTGGCCAGCCACTGAGGGGACACACCGACCAGAATTTGGCCTTTTTCCACATGGAAATTCGCCCCTTCCCAGAACCCAGGTGCCTAAACCCATCACCTCCACCTCCTCCTCCCAGGACTGGACCGTGCCCGAGGACATTTTTGAGATGCATCTTTGAATGTTCTGATCTCAGACAATTTTGCTTTCATCACTACGCAAAGGCCTTAGATTTCCACATGGTTTCTTGGCCTCTTAAAAAATCAGCAGTGGGGAGGGGGGAGGTCTGCTGACAATGAGGCATCAGAGACTGACCCCTTTGCAGGCTTTGTGGAAAATGTTTGAAAAGCCATTTTTGAGATCTCCACTGGAACATCCAATCTGGAAAAGCAGCCAGATTTGGTGCATTTACAAAAAACTGCAAGAAAAACCCAAATGGCTTGTTCTCAATGCCCTTCACCCCCAGCCTGGTTGGAGCACCCCCTTCCCAACCACACTGGAGCCCCTGGGGTTCCCATATCCCTGCCCCCTCCCAGCACTCACACCCCAACTCCCACACCCCCAGTTTGGGAGATACTCACTAAATAAAGAGGACGCCATAGGCAGCCAAGACCAGTCCAGCTGTCCAACACACTGCCACGGCTCCGCTGCCCACCACAGCCCCCTTGTCACAGATCTTGGTGGTGGGGGGCGGCATGAAGGAGGAGGTGCTAGCGCTCGTTGTCTCTGCAGGGAGGGAGAGTGGATGGTGAGGGGAACTGGGGTGCCCTGGGGCAGGGGGGCCGCCAGAGCTGGTGGGAACACAGCACCGTCCTGTCCCCAAATTGCCGCTCTCACTGTCGTCCCATGCTAGACAGGGGGGCTAGCATGACGAGCTAGGGGATGGTGTGGTCCATGAGACCTTCCCTGCTCTAACACTGGAGCTACTGCTCAGAGATGTTTCAACCACCTGGCAGAGCTGGGCATCCCTCCTGCCGAGCTGAGCTGCTCTATGCATCATCTCTGTGGGAATTTTGGCTAAGAGGTCATGATGACATGGGCACAAGTGCTCAGCAGAGAGCATCCCCCACCCAGGGAATGCCCTAGACATGGCTGTGGCTGCTGGGCTGGCTTGCAGGGCTTGTCCTCCTCTGTACGGGACCAGCTGGGGTCTCTGCAGGATTGCAGGGAGAGTACGGACGGGCAGCCATTGTGGGGTGGCTTTGGTCATATCCAGAGCATCCCACACTGCCCCTAGCCAGACAATGTGGGGGAGGATGCTGGAGGCCACAGGGGATCTATATCTTGGCATCTTTCGGACCCCACCAAGGTGTCACAGTGAGGTTCAGTCCCAGACCCAGGGTGTCCCACATCAGCCCTGCATGGCTGCAGCCAGCTGCATGCACTGGGACACGTGTGTGAGGGATACGTGTGTGAGGAACATGCCTGCACAGGCAGCAGGCAGGTGCCATTTGAAGTGGTACTTGCATTTAGCATGATGCAGGTGGGGTACAGGATCAAACCCCAAACCCTGACACCGGCATGGTGTGCCTGTACTCCTTGTGGGGGTTTATCTCCTTGAGCATGAGGGGCTGCAAACCCCTGGTGCTGCCTGAATCCCTAGGTGCTCTAAGTGGGTGCTGTTTCTGCAAGGGGGGGTTTCTCTGTGTAGGAGGCACCTGCACCTGCCAGCAGCAGGGCTTGCACCCAATGCATCTCTGTGCAGGGAGCATTGCCAGGGTCTGCAGAGGTTTGTGCATGGCTCTAGCAGTACACAGCTTGCACACGTGTGCTGGGATCTACACACTCGGCTGGGATAGAGTTTGGAGGGCTGGGGGGGCTGAGGACTCCCCCTCCCCATACACGCATCTGGCCAGCTCACACGGGCAGCCCCTGCCTGCCTGCCTGCAAACCAGTGCTTCCCCCCACCCCACCACTGGTGCCAGTCAGGGGAACTGCCACAGGGTCCGCTCCAACCCTTCTGGGAAATGGAGGGCTGATAACGCCCATTTGGACACAGTCCCAGCTCTTTCCTAGAAACAGAGGCTTGTTAACTTTGTGGGTTTTATTTCGAATTGTCATCGCTCCGAGCCATTGTGTGGGGTCAGAGGTGTGGAGGGGGTAGGACTGGAGACGGAGGGCTGGAGGGGGACAGCACTCCAGGGAATATAATAATAATAATACTACTGCTACTACTACTACTAATAATAATAACAACAACAACAACAACAGCAGCAACAATAATAATAATAAACCCCACCTTCATTGTCACACCCCAAGCACCCTGGCAAGGAGGATGTTGGAGCCAGGTAAGCTGACCCAGCACCCCTCGGTTGCACCCATCAGCAGGGCAATGGGTGGGGGCAAAGTGTAGGGCGAAGGGCTGCAGCCCCCTGAACGCTGGGGGGATCTCCTTGGCTATGGACCAAATTTGCACAGAGCAGGACAGAGGGGCCTCAGCCAGGACTCCCAGGTTCCCCCCCACTGCGGGCACAGCCTGTTTGTATGGGGGGGTGGGGGTAGCTCTCACCTGTGACTTGGGCCTCCGTGGTGAGATGCTTGGGCTCCTCCGTCCAGGGGGTGGCATGAACGGCCACGCTCCAGTCGCTCCATGTGCCAATGTCGTTGTCTTTGGCTGCCACCTGGATGATGTACTCCTTGCCAGCATAGGCATCCGTGATGGTGTGTGATGTCCCGTCCGACAGCTCAACCTGAGGGCAGTGGCAGGGAAAGGAGGGCAGTCAGAGGGACCCCCGGCACCAGGAGGTGTAAGATGATCAGCATGTTTAGCTCAGCTAGAGAACGATAACGAGACTTTTGCAGCACTTTGGGAAGTGCTACAGGGTTTTGGGCAGAGGCATGAGCCCAGGACAGGGATGCAGGGGGAGAATGCTCCAGCTGCAGCTAAGCCAAAGTTCTGGTGAGACCTCCATCCCGCTCCCAAACTCGTGGTGCTGGGACGGAGTGGCTTCCTCTAGAGGTCACCAGAAACTAGCAGATGTGTGGGCAGGCTCTGCTCACACGTTAGGGCAGCTGGGAGCGGGACATCCAGGGCAGTGGCTGGCATGTGTGCACATGCTTTCATTGCCAGTGATTCCCCAACCAGCATGCCTCTGGCCACCCTGCTCTTGCACCCGCTGGCATCTCACTGGCTTGGCTTGCAGCCCTCTGGCTGGGCCCTTGGACAAGGATCAAGCCATGACCAGCTGTCTTTCCTAGAAAAATTCCCTCTGTCCAATTGTCACTGCTGCCTGGGCCATGGGAGGTCCTGCCATCCTCCTGGGGATGTGGCTGTTGGTGCAGTGGTTTAACCCCAGACTATGTCCACACCTTCTGGGGATCTCTGATCTACTTGGAGCTTGGCTCAAGGACAGGGGGATGCAGGTGCTCAGCAGAAGTGCACCCCCATCACACGACCATCAGTGGGCAAACATGCCTGGGTGACAGAGGAGGAGGGCTCAGTACCCAAGAGACCTTCCAGGGATGGAGCCAGGCTTGACCTTGGGGTCCTGAGGGCACAGAGGGGACCAGGGCAGGAGCATCCTGCAGAAATTGTGTGGCAGATCGCCCTCCACCCGGACCCTGAGGCTGAGGACAAACACGCTGTCAGCTTCATTCCCCACTGTGCTGCCTGTGCATGGCAGGGGGGGACATGGGGCACCCCCTGACCTTCCCATGTTCCCTGGCTGACACAAACCACCTTCTTTCCAGACACATGTTGATAATCAAGATGCTGGGGGGATGACAGATGGTGCGGGTCTGACGCAGCCCACCTGTGAGCACCGGTACCCAGTCAGGGGCTCATGATCGAGCAGAACAAGCGGCTCTTCCCGGGTGGGGGGAACTTCATGGTGCAACCCGTGTGGAGTCCTCCACATCTCCCCAGCCACCCAGGAGAAGGTCAGGCACAGGATCCCACTGCACTGTTGGAGCACCAACAGATGAGTTTTATTAAGAACTCAGTTCAATGATAGGAGCAAGATGGAGCCGAAAAATTCCTCCTGGTCCTTGAACACATCCCAAAGCCCAAAGAAAGAAAAGCTTCACTGTCAGGGTGCCCAGGGGTACCCGGGCCAATGCACCTGTGGGACGAGGCTGCCCTGGCACTGTGGCTTTACACCCACAGGGATGGTACGCACACCAAGAACGTGTGTGATGGCCTGGCCAGCAGCAGGTGTGGTTGATCTCACCACCCCGCTGCTTACACAGGTAGCTGAACCCACACTGAGAAAGACCCAGCCCTTTTCCAGTCTCCCCAGTACAGCATGTGCAACACCCCAGCACAGATTTAATGCCTTTTGCACGCAAACTGCAGACTCCTCCTGCAACTTTTACAGCTGCTCTGGGGGATCCCTACCAGGGAGGGGGGCACTTTTGCTTTCTCGCTCTGGGTGAACTTTTGCTTTCCTTCCCCATTCTCTCTCCCAGGGCGGTATCCAGCCTGCTGCCCAGCACAGCAGGGCCCTTGGGCTCTGCGCTCCCAGCTGCTCACACTGTCTGGCCTAGGCGCTCAGGAGCCCCACATCTGGAGCACATCTGCATGCAGGCCTGGCCAGTCCCACCCCAGCCGTTGGGGAGCAAAGGGCCTCCTGCCGCTCGTGAGGTGCGAAGCTGCTACCAAACCTCAGCAGGAGAGCAGTGTGGAGAAAGGTGTGTGTCCGTCCTACTGCTGCAGAATTTGGGGCTGGATTGGGGAGGCAGAGTCCTGCCTCCCCTCACAGCACCGACTTGGGGCTGATGCCCACGGCACCATGGCAATGCAAGCAGGGGATGCTGGCAGTTTCACCACAGGACTTGTGCCAAGATGAGATGTGCCCCAGCCCCGTGCTGCTGTTAGCCAAAGCACTGGGACAACTTGTGCCCAAGTCCATCCCCACTTTCCAGGGGACACGTTACCAGCACACTATGGGTCTCACTATTGGGTTTGACCCATTGGCTTCTTGGCATGCCCTCCAAGGGGGCCCAAGGTCAGAGCCTGGCCGGAGGGAGCCTGGCATGGGGGGCAGATAAGACCAGCCACCTTGGTGGGGCTCCGTGACAGGTCTCCCTGAGTTTCCAGCATGCTGAAGGGGCTAAAAGCCAGCCCTGGGGTCACATGTGCTGCCTCTTGTCCAGATAATGAGGTCAGGCTTACGGTGGTCCTGTTTAGCACCTGGAATAGACCAGGGAGGTGGCTGCTGCCATCCCAGGGCTGGGCACAGCCCATCCTCCAGAAAAAAAGGTTTTGGCCCATATCTCTTATGGGGCACAGGTGAAAACTGAAATCTTGTGAGATCTGGGCAGAAAGGAGGATGAGGAAGAGAATATGAGGAGGATGCTGGTCCCTCCTGCAGGACATAGCTGTGCATCCTCCAACCTGTGGGGGTCTTGGCTGAGACCCATCCCACCAACCCCACCAAGCTCCAGCCCTCCTCAGCCCAGGACCAAAACCTGAGCTGGATCAGAATCCCCAGAGGGACTCTCTGGGTGAGCTGCCAGCCCCCAGCAAGCCTGTTTCTCCTGGCTTGGTCTGTTCTGGGCAGGCAGTGCATGGGACTTGGAAAGATGCTGGGGTTATCTGTATGGCGTGTGGGTCTCCCTAGGTCTTTCAGCACCCTCTGAGCCCCCCCGGCTGCTCCCTGAGCCCCACAGCAAGCAAGCTGGGCAGAACCTGAGGGCAAACCAGCTCCCCCGAGGTCCTGCTGGTCTGGCCAGGCTGCTGCTCCATCCAGAGCATTTCCTCCAGCCTAAAGAGCCCTCTCAGCTGAGTGCTTCCCCTTGGGAGCAATCCTGCCTCTCCCCAGCCACAGACAGCCTGCAGCTGGGTGTTTGCAGATGGGTCACTGCAGACACGATGGGGCAAGGCCTGTGACATCCTCCCCCAGGACCCCGGCTGCAGGACCTGGAGGATGTGTGAGGATGCTGCCCTAAGTTCCTCTTTAGACAGCAGATAAAAAGGCAAAGTGTAGGCGACAGCATCCATCTCTCCCCACACATGCTGCCTGCAAATAGCATTTCTGAGCTGGGCAGCTGAGGGGGACAGCCAACATTTGCCATGGTGGGTAGTAGAGTCCCTGGGTGGGTGCCCATGGCTCAGCACTGAAGTGCAGCAGCAGATGGGAAAGCACACGGGGACCGGGTCCAACTGGACACAGACGGGGAGAGCCGGGGGGGGGACGACACTGGGGAGGTCGTGGGGGGGACGGATGGACACACAGCATCAAAGGCAGAGGGAGAAATTCCTTAATCCACATCCTCACCACACAGAGACAAAAGTTGGAGGAAGGCTGCGCATGGTAATTTTTTTGGCCGGGGGGTCTGCATGTCGCTGCCTGCCTTTGTGCACCTGCCAAAAGTCACTCCGGCTGGCTGTGAAGCGCAACCCAGATTAATGAGAGATCAGTAGCCAGTGCAATGCAGAGCTATTAGCATTGCAAAAAAAAAAAAGAGGGAGAGTGAAATGAAAAAAGCCCTTGAACCCAGTAATTGAGCCAACAGCTTGCCGAGGATAGCGTGGGCTGGGATCCCATTCCCATTCCCTGCTGTGGCCACATATCCCCATCACGCACAGCCCTGAGCACCTGGATGAGCCCAGGGGCTGGTGCCACATTGATGGGATGGGGACAGACACCCAGGGCAGGTGGAGGGGAGGATTTCCCAGTGTGTGGTTTTGCCTCTGTCCATGCTGGTCCCCCCTGCACACGTGCTGGAGGCCTGGGGACATCCGCACGAGCCATCCACACCATGCACCCCAAGAGGGGACATCCATGTGTGCCCTCGTCCCAGTCCCTGCCTGCAGACTGGTGGCACTGCCTTGCAGTGCTCAGCACATCAGGACTTAAGGAAGCCATTCCCCCCCCACCGGGCTACACCACTTCCACAGCACTAGCCCACCCTGCCACGGTGCCCCGGCAGTAAAAAAGGTCACTGTGCTCTGTTCCTACTCAGGCTCTGCCCCTGGTCCAGCGTGACCAGGTAGCAATTACTTGCGAACAGAGTGATGCACAGGCATGTCTGAAGCCCAGATGGCCTTTGGAAAGGGATGGGGGAAAAGAAAACCCCAACCCTCCCTGCCCTGGCAGCTGGGCTGGGGGCTGGTGTGTGTTGGAAGGAGGCAGAGGGGGAGAAGGGGGATCAGATGCCTCCTTCTCTGTATCCCACATGAAAATGTGTTTGCCCACTCTCCCGTGGTGGCAGTGGCTCTGCTTTCCATTCCTTGACACCTCCCACTCCCCAGCACAGCTCCCGGTGTGGGAGGGGGGTGCTCCGCTGCTGGGAAGCTGACAACGCAGGGATGGGGGGCTGGCACCCCTCAGTCCCATGGCAGGGATGCACCACCTCTGTGCATGCCAGGACAGAGACCACACGCCTGTCCCAGGAGTTGTATCAAGCCTGGATAAGCCTGTCTTCCCCAAAATAAAAGGAGCACCCCAGCTATTGCAGCGTGAAGCTGATCTGCTCACACAGCCTGTGCCACCCACAGCAAGCAAGGGAACATGGAAGAAGACCCCTCAAAAGAGCACAGCGTGGGTCTGCCATGCATCTTGAGTCCTCACAGCTTCCCCCACCTCTGGAATCTCCCTGGGTTATCCCGGTTAATGGGGAAAACGGAAACTGGGAGGGGGACAGGGCACCCCCACGGGCTCGATTTTACAGCCTCCTTTCCCTGCAACAAGTGGCCAGATCCTACAACCTGGCTGCAATGAGTTTTGCAGGGACTCATGCTACACAA